GGTGGTTTGGAAGCTTTGGATGTCGATTGTGCCGAACCTCACCTTAGGGTTCCTGATGCGCATGAAAGTCAGTGCGAAAACCAGGATGATGATGGTCTGGAACACTGCAAAGGCAGCGATGTAGACTGCCCATTTGATTCTTTTCTTCCGTTTCAGTTCCTTGGCCTGGATGCTCGCCGCCTCTTCGTCACTCCTCGGGTGGCCATTCGCCTGAGCCAGGGGATGCACTTGCTGGGTCTTCTCAGCCATTTTTCTTTGTATATCAGAATCAAACAAAGGAAATGTTTTTCCTAGTATCTCTGTTTTTTTTGCCTTTCCCAGAAAAATAAAAAAGTATCTCTGTTTTTTTGCTCTGTTTCCCCTGTTTTCTTTGAGAGTTGAAGAAATGATGTGATAGGTTGCGGTAGATCCAGGACGACAGGGCTGATATATGGTGGGAATGGTAATTATTAAAAACCAGAAAATTGTAAGGGGAGGGCAATTTCCGGGAAAGGTGAATGGAAAAGTGAGAAAATTTGTTCAAATTCCAAACGCGGTGATGTTGACATGATTGGTTTCTAGATGGTCACTTGACTTGGGGAGAAGTCTATATCCTTTGTAGGAATATTTCGATGATAACAATTTGGTTGAATCTTAAAAATGGTTCTGTGGTTTGTAGATTGATATATACAAAAGAAAATACATGTGTTTCCTTGGTAATGAAAGAAAATATTTTGGGTTTTTGGTAATGAAAGAATGAGATATACATAGAGATAAGGAATACTTTTTTTTTTTGGCCAAGGAGAGATAAGGAATTCAAAACAATAGGAAATGATAGAAGATACTAATACATATGAACCAAATCTATATAATTATATGAGAAAAGTATTTATAAGAAGAATGTTGTAAAACCAACCAGTCCTGTGCTCAATTGGTTGGCCCCAAGCTTTAGGGCTTGGATGAGGTGGAGGTCAGGGTTTTGAGCTCTGCCACCACCGTGAACTCCACCAACTTGCGACCTAATGGTCGCGCGCCTCAAATGAGAGGGTGAAACATTTACTTTTCTGAAAAAATTTCAGCTGCTAACAAACTAACTCTACTAATTTCCTAACCATCTACCTGGTCAAAAA